TGAAAGATAGCATCGATTGCATGTTGGCTGATTCTTCCTCCACGTGAGCTGGTTTCTGATAGGGCTCTTTCTGAGCCTTTTGGTGGTTCTTGCGGATTGGGCCGGCTGCCGAGGTGGACTGCGTCGGTTCTGGGACTTGCTGTGACGCTGGTTGAGGGTTCGGGTTCTTGCCGATGAAACCGTGGTTGGTCCTCGCTTTGAATTTGAGTTCCTCTGAGTACGGGTTCCACCCCAAAGACCTCTTCAGGACTTCCTCCTCGCCCAAGAGCATCGTCAAGCTGTCGTGACTGTTCTTCCACAAGCTGAGATAGGTCATGATGGCTCAGGTATTGTTGGGGTTCTTTTCCTGGGCTTTTCTCCAGTTGATGAAGTTCTTCTCGTGTAGGGACATCAGAAGTCTCTCTTCCTCCGAGGTGATGGTCGGTGGTAGCTGATCGGATGCTTGATCTTCTTGCATTAGGTCGAGCTGAGGTAAGACCGACCAAGCTACATCTCCTGGAGGTGTCTGAGTACGATGGTCGGCCGAGTTTCTCTTCAATAGCTCGGACTCGGTCAGATTTTCTAGGAGGCATTTTTAGGCGTGTTTGTTAATTTTTCTTTGAACAGAGTTAACAAAAGGAAAAAAAACTAATGTACCAGGGTGATCTGTGGTACCAATCTTCTTCGACCCAGTAGTCGTTGTCTCGGTAATTGAGGTGGTGGTCGTATGAGGTATAGACTGATCAAGCGGTGATTTTAGTTGGATCCTTGGTAAGACAGGTAGGATTGGCTCGCGAACCTTTCCTAATACGTGGTTCGGGAGCTGGTTGGTCTGTGCTTCCGGAGTTTGATTTGCCTGCTCCGGTGGGTTCACTTTTAAAAGGTAATGTGTATTTCTTCTTTTAACAAAATACTGTATTCGCTTTCGGGGTAAGTGAATAGTTGGAAGTATGCTTACTTTCTTTCTCTTTCGACAATCTCTAGTTGTATAACCTTTTCTATAAGTTTCTCGACTCGTAGAGAAAGTTCTAATAGGTCGTGTTTCAAGGTTAACAGTTCCTTTGATTGATCAATTTTGAAGTTTTTCCTTTAAGCGAGGGGAAAGAAGAAAAATTGGAATAATTTTATTTGAAAACTAAACGTTTTGTTTTTGTTTTGTTTTGTTAGTTCTCGGGTCTACTAACACTCGATGAGGCCCCCAATTGTCAGGGTGGCACTTACTTAATCAGCTAAGGGTAAGGACCGTAGCTAGCAATCCTGACAAACAACTCTATTGGTTACGTAGGGTTGATAGTATCTGTCGTAATTCCTAAAGGAATAACAGAAGTACTAATAAGTTTCGAACAATTGATAGTAATCCGATTTGAAGTGAAGGGATTAGAAAAAGAGCAACGGCCTACTGCGGTTCACAGAGTTGAACTGGTCAGGTTCTAGACCGAAGTTTTTCTCCGAGATAAAGGACGTTTATCAAAGAGTAGCCTGGGTTACTAGGACCTCAGGGATCTTGTCAACTATGCGTTGCAAGAACAATGGTACTAGACCAGGTAGAGTTTTACTGTCTCGAAACAGGGGCAGTAAAGGATGGAAAAGGAGATTGTGGGTAAGACTTACTCTAGTGTTAAGAGCTAATCTAATGAACACTTCCTGGAACTTTGGACAAGGGTTTTTTGGCAAGAGGAACTACTTTATCGTGATTTGATGGTAGCTGGACTGCGAAAAGATGGGTCTTGAAGTTTACTCGGAAGACAATGTGCTGCCCTCTTCTATTTCAGGGCAAGTCCTTTCTTTATATGCTTGATCTAGAACTCCGGCTTACTTGTGGTTCTAGTCGCATTGTTGTCTGTAGTTCCCAATCTGGACGCTTCAGTAGGCTGACTCGTGGTTTGGCCAGATTGGGAAGTTATTGAATCAGAGGTTGGTCTCCTCGTGGTTCGTCCTGCTAGTTTCTTAACACTCGGGTTCTTGCTACCGGATTTTTTTAGAATGTAACGCCTAGTCTTGTTGCCAGGATGGATTAGTGTGTATCCTTCCTGGCCTCATACTTATGGATGCTTCCTGATGATTAGGCTTCCTTTGATATCGGGAGTACGATGTGTTTATATTGGGTTACCTTTGATACTAGGTACACGATGTTGTTGTTTTTTTATTATGGTAGAGAGAAAATATGTTTTATGTTTTTTATTTTATTTTTAGATTGTAGCCTCTTTGGCTTCTGGTTGGTCAGAGCTCGGGGGCTGACACTTCAGGTGTTTTTTGAGGTGGCTGAACATGGTCAACAGTCAGATCTTCCAACATGTAATCCACAGTGGCATCCTCAGCTTGATGTCTCGTGTTGGCATTGGTTGATTGATTATTGTCAGAGATATTGTTGAGTTGACGTCGCATCTTGAGGATATCTGCAAGTGCTTGAGCCCATTGAGGGCTAGCTTGGGTACAGGAGACCAGACCATGGCAGCGGTTGTATATTGTCTTGAGATTGACCTGAGTGACGTCGGGAGGATCAATGAGGTTGTGGATGTTCGAAGTTTGTTCCATCTTGTCATCGTCATCTTCAAGTAATTCACCAAAGACCTTGAGCCCAACTTTTGCAGCAAGATTAATCATGTAGGCTACACATCCGTGAACCTGAGTTGAGTGATCAAAGTTGATACCTTCAGACATTCTGATGACTCGACCAATGGCAGCATTGGTACTTATATTATCCACAGTCATTGTGTTTAGTTTCTTTGTTAATGTGTACTTGTCTGAATAAGAGATGATGATACTCGCAAAGTTGGCGGCGTCATGTGCACCTGAAAGATGTCAAATCAATCATTGTATCAGTGAAGTCTAGTTGTTTGGATTTGATATAAAAACTCACCTTTGATCTCTGCCATACCAAGAGCCACATCCATTAGTTCCCAATTGTTGTTGATAAAGTGACCGGTAAGAGCCATGTACGGGGCATTGTTCGGAGAAGTCCAGGCGTCTTGGGTGATTGCGATGAAGTTGCAAGGGCCAAGATAGACCTTCTTGATGTATTCTTTGTAATGATAGTAAACCTTTTGCATATGCTTGGCGATTGCGTGTCGCTTGACAATCATCCCGTCAACGTGAGGTTGGCAAAGCATCAATAGATCTCGAAACAAAGGCTTATCGACAATAGAAAAGGGTAGATCGGAATCGGCTATGAAGTAACACAAGTAAGTCTTGAGGTTGGTGATATTCAACTTATTCTGTTGAATATCAGAAACAGGTAAGGTAAGTAAAGTTTCATGTAAGAATTCAGGAGGAATGAAAAGACTTACCACATGACCAGTTTTCACTTTCTTGAAGGATGCAAGTATGTTGGATTGATTGGGTCCCTTCGCATCACGGACACCGTGCTTTGGTTCAAGGTGATTCTTCATGGATGTCGTACTGCCCATCTTATCACGTGCTAAGCTTTTGCCACATTGATTTCCATCAGCCATCACAAATTGACACTTATTGTGTTCTTCACCTCTCTTGCAATATTCCCAGACATAGCTTGTTGGTTGAGTAGGAGTTGAAAGGTTCGTATCAGATTTGGTTTGAGAGGCTGGGTCTGTAGATGATGCATCAGTTGAAGCCCTCAAACCCACAGATGAGGCTTTGGGCATGTTGCTTAAAGTTTGATTAAAGGGTGATTATGCGGGTTGTTGATCAAGTTGATATTGGAAGATATATTTAAGTTTGAAATTTGAATGCCTTCGTATACGGTATGAGGAGGTATGAGGGCGATGAGATTGGATTGGGAGGGAAAAAAATTATTATGCAGTTTTTTTTTTCCGCCATACAAGCGGATATCTGGCGGTTAGCCGGTTCAAGTACCGGTGCCATCATTTTTTAAAAAAAAAACCGGCCGGATACTCTCCGAGAGCTCCGGATGTTGAAATTTACCGGCGGTTTGGTGGTTGAACGGACCAGAATCAGCCGGATACTCGTCGGAGCTCAGCTTGACAGTGGATATCCATATCCAATTTCCGGCGATGCTCTGGTACTCTCAAAATGTTGCCCAGTCCCTAATAAAACAAGCCTCTGTGGCCGCTAAGCGTACATCCCAGATACCAAGTATCTAAAACCAAGAGACACATTCCTATTTGGTAATGGCGCCTGAACCGTATAACAGTGTATCTAGATATGAATATCAATCAAGAAAATCAGATTGAGGTAGGATTATATCTTAAAGAAGAAACATAAGACAAACTTTATTGCACAGAATTCCACGTGCCAGTATACCCTTTACTACCTTCTCCAAATCAGAAGTGTTCACAAACTTGATATCACCTCCTTGGGCACCTACAACTGAACCATCATGTTGTCTAAGAGCTTTTAGACAGACAGTTCAATTGGTCCCTGCTACTAATGACCCACTATAACCAAGGTTTTCAATCCACTTCTTGACAGGAATCATGTTTGCCAGCTGTAATCCATCAAGTAGCTGGGACACTGAAGTCCTTCGTTCTTCTCGCTGGCTTCGGGGTGATCTACCAGCAAAATTATCCCCGAACAACGACACAACTCCGCTGCTATATGCACCAGCTGTAATCAACCAATTGTCTAGCTCCGACAAATAGACAATCCCATCCAAACTGTGTGCATGATATAGGCGCTCGGCTTTGCTACTCATAGCCGTATGGAGCCAGGAGGTCCTTTGACACACTTATCTGGCTTCCTTTTACTGTCACAATGTGTGCAATACATTTCTACAGTCACAGTGAACATCCATCAGACACTCAGGAAGAATCCTGAGCAGGAAAGACAATCAACATAGAGGACAGCAACATGAAGAAATATCAAAAGGTATATAGGAACTTTTGTAAAATACAAGCTTTGAAATCACATCAAGCCTCTGATATTGAAGGTCATCAGACCCACAAAAACAAGAAAACTGATTGACAAAGGATCAGTCAGATGTTCATAATTTATTTTTATTCAACTCAAAAAGATTTAAAAGTTCAAACTTGATTGGATCTTTGACTAAGTAAGTAGAAATCCTAGTTTCATATAAGGCCTTAGAGTTGGTTTGGATGCAATTCATTGCTTCCTCAGAAAAGACAATGGCTAGTTACAAAAACATAATTTTCTCATTACAAATTTTCTTGCTACATGCAGCTTACATCCCGATGATTCAAGTTCAAGATTTTTTACAAAAAAGATGAACAATAATAAAATTTGAATCTTCTGAGCATTACTAAAATGGATGTGTCCCACACATGGCGCTTTTATAAAAACACTGGGCCGAAGTCTGTCTTAGAACCACTTAGGCCTGTAAGGGCCTGCGTGGACCGACATGGGAGGCTGTCTATACCAGGGTCCTTAAAATAATGCATGTAATACAAACACAATAACAAAAAAAAGATCAAAGTAAAACAATGCTGACTAATAAGAAACTCATCCACAAAGAAAAAAAACATAAACAATTCATATGATTCGATGATAAAAATAAGATTACACTAATGATGAATTGTATGATTTTCTTTATCTTTAAAACTATCATTCCTAATCTCATCTACTACTCCTTCAGTTCGATTAGCTTCATCAGTTAAGATTTTCTGTCTATATTTATTTGATCCGATTATTGAACTGTGTTGATAAAGTTCATCAACTTGTTCTAATGATAATCCTTTAGTTTCAGGAATACTAAATAAAATGAAATAAAATAAAATCTGTTAGAGAAATCAGGTTAAAGATTTTTGTTTGAGAAAAAACTTACAAGAAGAATGTGAAGACAAAACAGATCGCACAAAACCCTCCCCAAATCCAAAATACATTAGATCCTAATCCTGCCTTTCCAGGTCCAACGTCTACAAGATAAGGTGTCATATATCCAATTGCAAAGTTCCTATAGTATGAGAGAAGTTAGTTCTCGATGGTCTCTTCGAGAGAAGTGAAGATGAACCTACAATGCCCAATTTGATGCTGTTGAGAGAGACATTGCTTTAGCCCTGATAGCTAAAGGATAGATCTCAGAGGTTACAACCCTGTCAAAACCACGAAAATGTCATTAGCACGTTCATCCAGTATTGAAAATGTACCAAGGACTCACCAAGCGATTGGGCCCTGAAAGTTCAACAGAATGAAAAGATCGGGGGGCGAAAGATGAGTTCACGAATCAAGACTAGCTAAAGAAAATATCCAACTAACCCAAGTGGATGCAAAACCTCCAATATAAATGCAGACAAGGGCAATCAAAGCACGTTGACCAGCGAGGTTACTTGCAGGTATAGTGAGCCCAAGGATAGGTATGATGAATTGACATATAGCCATCAAAGCCTAAAAATCGTATGGAAAAAGAGGGTCAGTAATGGATGAAATGAGGATAACAAAGATAGGTGGAGAAACGAGGAAAGAAACTCAACAGCTCCGAACATGAGGGTGGACCTTCTACCAAACTTATCAACAGCCCATATTCCTGGAATAGTCATGACTACATTTACCTAGAAGTAGATCAAACGGGTTTCAATTGATTGAACGGGTCTGTTTTCGGCACGTTTGGAGAATCGAAAGACTGACAACATCAATGATGACTGTGGTGGTAAATGGGTCATCTACTCCACTGTTCTTGAAGAATCTATATAATGAAAATAATTTTCAAATCCACTTTCTGTCAATGTTTGTTGACTCTTTTCACGCATAAAATCAATCAATAAAAGGAGTGAACTCAACGAGGTTCCGTAATAAATGATAAAGTTGATACTATCAAATTAATGAAAGAAGAACATCGCAAGAAGATATCAGTGAATATTTTAATCCGATCTCCAAATGAATGAACAAACCCAGTAAGTTGTTGAAGAGCTTGGATTCCCATCCCAGACAAGGTTCTAAGAAGATACCTACCTTGACCAGATTTAAAACAATCGGCATAAGATCCAGATCCAAGTGTACGTTCGATTTCCAATGAATCGACGACTTCATCATATTCTCTTGTGACTTGTTCAGAATCTGCTGGCAAAGAGAGCAATCGGCTTAAAGAAGCTTTGGCTTCTACTTCTCTGCCTTTGAGGATCAAAAACTTGGGAGATTCTGGTAGACAATAGAGCCCAAGGGAAAGGATAAAGGCCCAAACAAACTAGTGGTGGATCCAGATGGTGAAAAAGTCAGACTGATGTATAGAATTAATGGGAGATGTAATTTAGACTCAACTTGTAGAGCAATGGGAATTCGATAACAACTTGCATCTGGACGATTTTTAGTTGCTTTAACAACTACAGCTGCGATTAATAATCCGATGGTAATCGCCCATTGCTATTGAAAAATGAAATCAGTATGATTTGACGATGATGAGATAAAGAACGAATATAAGACTCACATAAGCAGCCACTACCGCTCCTCGAATCCATTTACTATCAATCCCCCATTAAAATCATCAAAGTCGAAATAAAGTTAATCAAAGGAAAAAAGATAACCAGAAGGTAAACAGAAAGGCTTACGGTGCGCATTCAGATTGATACATAGGTACCAAACAAGAAGTTAAACCGACTCCCAATCCAGCGAAAACTCGACCAACTGCAAAGACTGGAATAGTCGTGGAAGCAGTTTGTAATGCAACACCTATACAAAATATCCCACATGAAGCAATCACACCCCATCGTCTGCCGACTGTATGAAAACAATCTATCAACATGATATCTAGTTTCGGATGAAGATTTAAAATTAGACTCAGGAGGGATACTTACGTATATCACCAAAGGGATAGGCAAGTAATGCCCCTACGAAAGTTCCTATCGAGAGAATTGAGGTGACTAGGGAATCATTGGCAGTGCTAAGCTATATTTTGTAAAAATTTGGATAGAATGGGGATTAAAATCCTCGAGCGCATATAATTTGATAAAAGTGAATTAAAAAGATACTGACTACATATGTCCCAGTCGCGTCTTGTTCTCCAAAAGTTCGAAGCCTTGAAGTAATTCCCAAATCAAAGAGAAGTTCAGTTCCGCTTGACTTTATTGATTATATATTACACTTCTGAAGGGTGTGGATGATATGGTCATTGAAGACTTACCAGAATGGCATTTCTTTGGTACCCGAAATATAACCCTACATCATCAAAAATACTAGGAACAGTAAGTCAAGAGAGACTTGAATCAAATTGAAAGAAAAAGACGAGGCTCTCAACACACCGTGTCATATCCATAAAGGTAGCTGTATGAACAAAATCGAGCCACAAGATTGCACGTTAGATCATGAAGAAGAAAACCATAAAATCTGACATATAGACTGACCCTCCAAAAGCAGCAAAGAGTGCCATTGAGATTCCAACAAGTTTAGCTTTTGTAGAAGCTGGTGGTAAAGCAGGTAAACCACCTGGCTTTCCCATATCCATTCCAACCATTTTTGTGTATATTTATTTAATCCTTCGAGTGATGGTTTTATAGCTGATGAATGCGGTGATTGAAGTCTAAGAGTTATTGGAGTGACTCGATTGTGGGATGTAAGTCAGAGAGAGAAGGCAAGTATTTATGTGATTTATGATAAGTTAGATAGATGATCAAGTTGAATGAATTCGGCGGCGCGTGAGATGTATTTGTTGATATTGGTAATGAGATAAAATTGGGTTTGCTGTTCAAGAATCAATGCGAGTAAGAGCTGGGGAAGTAAATTAAAGAAAATCAAGGAAACAAGGCGTGATTTTATTTGATTCAAGTGATGATGATAGACTTACTAAGCAGAACAGAATGCTTTATGTATTGAGAGATTTGGTGGTGTGAAGGCGGGGATGGTGATGAGTGGTCAGTTTTAAAAGAGATAGATATGTAGAGAGTTGATTGGTTTTACACTTTTGTTGTCTCTCATGGCTTGTTTTCGAACTGAACTGCTAAAATACTTCAAAAAAAGAAAGTTACAAAGAGAATAATCAATTCAAAGCGATCATCTTCATCACTTTCATCTTCATCAAAACTGTATCATCACTCTATTCGTCGGTTAATCTGTTCATCCCCGAGTCCATCCCAATACCACCACCTGGCACCTCCTGGCACCCACTCACAGAGTCACCTGCTCACCAGGAGTCTCCTCAACCCAAAGAAAGCTTAAAGGCCGAGGGTCCAATCTACCGGCGTTTAAAATGCACCTCACAGCGCCTCACAGCTGATCTGATCTTTCACTTTGACTCACCGAGATTTAAATCTCAAATTCCTAATTTAGAAAATTCCATCCTATTTGAGAATTTGGAATTCCAATGGTCTTCTGACCTTTGCATCTTTCTCTGTATCTCCGTCATGTGCCGTCTGTCACCTGTGCCGTGGATACAAGTTGTGGGGTAAATCTGGTAAATCGGACTGGGAGGTGGGTCAATCGAAATTCTGAGAAATTACATGACTTGTGACCACAACATCATCTTGCCTTCGCCGACTCGCCGGTGTTGCCGGTCTTGCCGGCAGTTTTCAGTGAAACAGATTCAGCACGTCATCATTTCATCATCGTAACATGCTCCTTGATGTACAGTCGATTGCAGAAAGCTTGGAAACTTTTGCCCGCCAAACTTGGGCAAATTGGCGTGGAATTCTTTCCAAGCTTTGTGAAATTGACTGTACCAATTCTTTGTAAGAGATGAAAACTTACATGTCAATCTATGAACTTCGATGATGAATGCGTTTTTGAGAACCGATATTGGTTTGTGGACTTGAAGCTTGAAGTGCAATTTGATCTCAGATACGTAAAAGCCAAACAATCATTCGAGCAATCAAATCACGCTCATAACTTAGGAATGCGAGATTCGAAATTGAACCGTGATGATGATTCATGATTCGACACTCTAAACAAACCTGAATCATCATCAACTGGATATGGCAGAGACAGCTTGAGACCTGATGAGGATTTAACCGAAACTCATCAGCTTGCGACTTGAAACGAAATCGAAATGATGATATAATCTTTGTGGGATGGGACTTCTTTTGTTGATCTTCTTGATTTGTGATCGTTCGAATACAACCTTTCTTCGTTTTTGGTTTAAAAGTGACGTCATCTGATCGGTTTACCAACTTCCTTGTTTACTTTTCTCCTCTGTGATTCCAGTTAATTTTTGGACAACCTAGAGATTCAGCTTTGTCTCATTTTTAGATGCTTCTTGCTCAGGCCCCGGACAGCTTCACTGAAAGTTAAACCATCCGATCAAAAAATCAGATGTTAGGGATCAAAAAGATTGGACACCCAAACTGGGAGAGATGCGGTATCAGTCTTTCTCTGAGACTACCTGAGAGAAGCAATGAGATATACAGGTCCCTTTTTGAGTTCTCTTTCGAGTAAGAATTGGAAATGAAAGCTTTAAAAAACACTTTCATTTTATTAAAATATTCCGAAACAAAAGACTTGAAAAAGTTGATCAACCTCCTCTAAAGTTCGATTTCATGATCAATATAGCAAAAAACTCTTATTCACAGAAAGTCATGGAACTGAAGAAATCATTGAAAATGAGCTAAGATCATCACGGTTTCAAAACAAAGAAATCAACCCAATTCGTGATCGGTTTTTAGTTCATTCAGACCAAATTTCTGGTCTTATAAGTTACACAGAGACATATATTGGATTGTATCTGCATCAATTGAGAAGACCGAGACCGCATAAGTAAAATCTGAATTGATAAAACACTTCATGAACAGGATCCAAGGAAGAATTTCCGGAAGACAATTCGTAAATCCTGCTCACTCGCATCGAGACAAGGAAAAATACCAAATAAGGAAACATAAAGAAAACAGAGCAGTACCTCTCTGGGATTGGAAGCTCGCTCGTCCAGATGGACTGGGTAATTAGGTTAGAATCGAACACTTGCAATCCAATTCCTTTTTGAAAAGATAATGGATGAAGCTCATCAAGCCGTCCGCATCCGTGCTATGTTGATTTACGTGCCTGTGGGTTTGGAAGAGCAGTGTGGAGTAAAAGAGCTTGAACCGCATAGGCTGAGATTCAAGGAAGATGGTAGTAAGGAGCTTCATGATTGCATAAGTGTGAAGTGGAAAGCAATCTTTTTCAATTTATGCGTGGTATAAATGACAGTTTATAAGAAGATTTTTCCCCAAAGAAATCAAATATATATAACAAATAAAACTTTGACAAGTAATTGAGATTTTGATCAAACGCTTAATAATTTTGATTCTATTTACTTTTTTATGTGGGTATGAAAACGGGAATAAGATAAAAAAGCTCAAACTCTTAATCCAATTGTCAAGATAAACTAAAAGAATATTTAGATTGGTAAACCTGCACCCTTGCGGCAAGCAACGACTGTAGACTTATGCTTTCCTTTTAATAATTCCCTTACATCTATAAAGAACAAATTTGAAAAGAATCAGAAAGGTTATAATATTAATAGATTTTGATAAATAAATCTCAACTTACCAGGAAGTCGTGTATCACAAACCGGAAGATTGATAGCACAATCTTCATTCAGATCAGTAGGAAAGTTTCTAAACCAAATCAACCGATCAGAATTTCATTCAATGATATTTATTTTTCTAGATCTTAAGCTTTAAAAAGGTTTGAAAACTTACTCTGTGTCATTCGGAGAATAAACATCATGTTCAAATCTACCATACTTTTGTTGACAAGCCCAAGAAGTTTTAGTGATATATTCAGCAGAGAAACCGTATTTGTTAATGATAGCTGATGCTCCATAGATTGAATTTTTACTCTTCTTTTTATGAGCTCTTATCACATTATACATACTATAATCAAAATAAAACGTCAATTATTCCAATATCTTATCGCTTTTAAGATCATGTGCTGGTTACTCACAGTTTAGCTTTAGGATCACAGTAGGAGATCACATCGTTTCCTCCCCAAGCACCTGCTGGACCAGGACCTTTACAATCATTCTGTAGCAAATCATATGATGGTAAATATTGGGATTACATTAATAATTGTTTGAACATGAAACACTCACCTCGCCAATGGTCACAAATGCATTCTGAATAAAGCAAAAAAAATCGTTATTCAGACTACTCATATACTTAGATAAATGTCCTTGATTTTCATAAATACAAACTTACATTCTGTCTCAACATCCTAGAAAGTAATCTAGCTTGAAACATTTTCATCGTATTCTTTTCCATAGTTTCCATAATCCCATTGAAAGTAGTAGGCTGAAAGAACATTCCACCTTTTAAAACATGACCTAAACCGAGATCAGAGTTAATAGGAGAAGCTAATGATTGAGCAAAACTATTGGTAATAGAAGAGATAATTCTATCTTCAGATTCAGCAATGTAAAATGATAATTGAGTCCACTTTAGATCCCACCAAAAAAAAATCAGTAAACAAACTGTTAATGAAATATAGAAAGTGTTAAAGGTCTTACTGATTGATAAGTGACCGTTTTAGGTTTTCCTTGAATCCAAGCTGCTAAACCAGCTCCAAAAGCTGTTCCAAAGATCACAAATGGGATTGCAGCACTGATTCCGACCCAAGCCATGATAAGTGCAGCTACTGCACCATATGTGATCCCTCGATATAAATCGGTAAACACCCATTTTAAATCTAGTACCAATCTAGAATCTGTAATGTTTTCGAATCTGTTTTGTGTAAAGGCAAAACTTTAGAAAATTGAGAATTGCACATCTGATTTAGATATTACTCACAGATCGTTGGTCATTGCAGCAGATGTGGCTAAAGTGATAAATTCGATGTTAGGAGATATAAATGATCACATTAGTGTTTCTTTTTACTTTTCCTTCCATGAGTGTGGATTGACTTACATTGAAGCATTGATAATGTATACTTCACAGAATCAACCATAGCGTTCATGAACCGATTGTACTCTTGAGCTGCATACAAAAGTTGCCATGCAGGACTTTGAATCGGATGATTTAACTAACAAAAAAAGGTTGGATTGATCAGAAAGATTTATTGAAATAAATCTTTGAGAGAAACAGCTCACTTGTCCAGCATTACAAGTTTCACCAATTCCGCAAATGAAATTTCCACCTTTATTCTTTCTAGCATATTCCTGTAATGGAAAAAATGACATGAAATATATGAGCAATGGAGATTTTTTGATTTGTGAATCAAATCATTAACAATCAGCTTACATCTATAGTCGAGCTTTCTACAATAAGAATATCATCAATATTGAGTTGTGCCCAAGTTTGCTTTGAAATCGGAAGTGGTGTACTACTATTGAAAGAGTTAAGATTATTATTTGTAGCCAAATCTTCGGTTTGTCCAGGTGCAGGAGGTAAACTGAAACCACCAGATATATTGCTTTGACTAGTCGAATCTTGATCGTTTTGTCCCGGGGCTGGTGGTAAATGTGTGAACCCATCATCATTTTCTTTTTGTTCAGGAGCAGGTGGGAGTACAAAAGTTGTATCCGATGAGTTCTGGCCAGAAGCCGGTGGCAGGACTGAAGCCCCCGAATCTTGGCTTGTAATAGTAGTACCATTGGTAGGTAGTCCTGAATCTGTAGACACTTGTTGGCTAGGAGCTACGTCTGAAGAACTGTTGGTTGGACTCGTGGAGATAGCAGTCAGTGGTACAATTGTTCCATTGGTGTTTGGCTGTGGTGATAGTACAGCATCAGTGCTCGCTGGTGGAGGGATGACTGGGACTGGTGAAGAAACTACTGGGGCTTGAGTATCATCAGTTTGAGCAGTAGGACTGCTTGCGGCTGGTGCTGGTGCTGGTGCTGGTGCTGGTGCTGGTGCTGGTGCTGGTGCTGATGGCGGAGCAGGCGCTGCTACAGAAGGAGCCGGTGCTGCTACTGTAGGCTCAGGTTTCTGTCCTGTTGGAGGCGGTGTTGACTCAATGAGTGGTGCTACTGCAGGGGGTGTAGCAGAAGGAGTTGCTTGGATGACTGCGGGAGGTGTAGTCTGAGAAAGCTCTGGTGGTGGTGCAGGTGCAGAGTTGGAGGCAGCAGGTGGTGTAGGTGGTGCAGCATTTGCCACAACAGGTGAGGGAACCCCAGCTGCAGGAGGAGGACCTGACGGGGGTGGTAAAACTTGGGTAGCTCCTTGTGGTTTCTCTGGCGGAGGGCTTGGAGTATTTGAGGTGCTGGATGGGTTAGATCCAACACCCGCAGGGGAAGGTGGGGGCGGCGAGGGTCCTGGCGGAGGTGACGATGCAGTAGAGCCCACTGGATTTGCCGGTGGAGTGAACACAGGTGCAGGCGAAGCCGGTGGAGCTCCTACTGGTACCACAGGTGGCGGTGTCCCAGTGGGGCTTACGGGAGGGTTGGTTGCCGGAGCTGTCGAAGGCGCACTCCCAGCTATAGGCAGAGCAGTGCTGTTGGAACCACTCGCATCGGATGCTGATCCAAACGTAGCACATCATATTAAGAACATTGGATTTGTAGAATTCGATAAGCTTTTTTATCAAGGATGGATTGTTTTCAGACAGAAGTGAGATGTAACTTACATGGAAGTTGTCTTTTCAATAATTGATTCTTGAAGTTTACTGTCGGAGAAGGGTAGACTTCCGAGACATAACAAGCGGCCAGAAAGACACTTACAAAAATCTTATTGAAGTTATTATGATTTCTAGTCTTGGATTTATGTGAAGAACTCATCGAATCTGAATTATTATTAATCTTCTGTAGAAAAAATCAGATGGATTTGATGAATTATTCCGAATGAGCTTTTTCTTTTTCAATGATAGATGAAATTTAGAGACCGATGAATATGTGCTTCAAGTAAGATGTTTACCCAGGTTTAAGATACAAGGGCTGTTCTGCTGATGACGGGGAGATTGAGATAAAAGCTGGAATTTTTAAAGGGCATGAACCGCTACTGCAAATGTCTGTTCATCGAACGCGTGCCATACTCGACTGCAGCGCTTCATATTCTGAATGCTCGAGTTATGGTTTCAATTGACTGAGCATTTCCGTGTCTCCCAATATTCGTCAGCAAAATTCACCATGTTTGAGCTTGAAATAAAGTATGAGTATTTCGAGAACTCGATTTTGAATCTCGCTCAGACGGGTCTGCGCTGAAAATCTTGTTCCATGATGTGAATTTCGACTGCCGCTTCAGCCTGTCTCGTCAGGACATGCGCCGAGGCGATGTCTCTAGAAAGGTGAGCGTACGTAGCTTTCTCCAATCCGCAGACATCAATTATATCTCTTGGCTTCGGAATCGAGGAAGTGTTACGGTGTCATACCAAGTTTATCGTCAAGCGCCCTCGCACTGATGGTTTTTTTGAGCAGCCAAACCACAGCAAAGGATTTGGATAGCTCCAATCGACATCATTGATGCATGTGTGAATCTTAGCAAGAGTCTGCTTTCAGATGGCGCTCAAAAATCTTGAGTCGTTGATCGTTTTGAAGACAGAGGTGTTCATCAATGTTTACTTATTAAAAGCATGAGGCTATTTATCTTGTCTGGCCTGTTGAAACATATCAAAGTAATCAGCAAGACTGACACTGACAGAAAGATTTGAACGGTTCTTGTTAGCGATGGTGCTTTGATTTGCATGGCAGTGAAAGATACATACCAGATTGAAGCCTGTTGAAGGTTTGGGCTGAAATCACCAAGCTCGTTTGTGAAACAGCAAAAAAGTCGAGAGTCGCTCGCATGTAACAGAAGACTGTTATCAAAAATCTCCCCAAACAGGATGTATTAAAGATCATTAATGATGGTAAACAAGCGAGAATAACAAGGCGACCGTGTGATTCACCCGGCCAAGATTATTCCTTATCAAACCAATCGTTTCACAAGTCAAGTCTGATTAAATCCTAGCTTAACGAAAGCCAACACATCCCGAGATCATGCAACTCAGATAAACGAAAGCCCCACCGACCGCGCATGTCTCCCGCAGGCTCCGAGGAACGCCGGTGAGAGGGACTTACGTAAAGTTGATTGAAATCTAAAGAAAAACAAACTGATCAAAGCAATCATTTTGTTTAGTATGTCCATAAGATCAAATCCTTCCAACCAGAGATCCTTTCAAAATAAATTAAACATCAAATCATTTTGGTGTCAGTACTATTGTTTTATTTTATTTTAAAAAAAATTCATCCCCTCTTTCTCAAAACTCATTTTTTGTCCAACCTTTTTCAACTAAAAAACCCCCCCAAATGAAACCAAATGTAAATAAACTCAAACAAATATGTATATACTTATGGCTAAGTAGGTAATATGTACCCTCAAAAGAGAAACTACAAACAAAAAAAATAGAAAAAAAATACTGCAAACCGATTACTTCAACTTATAGAAAACAATTAAACTGTCAAGTAAATTATATATATAAATCAAGATATGAAGAACGGAAAAAAACAAAATAAAATCAAGATTTTTTTTTCCTACTGTCACTTTATCTTAAACCACTTCAAACTTCAAGTTTCAATTCAATCTAAACTGATTTTCAATCACTTGATTCCATTCACTTTACTGATCTTTTCCGATTTTTCTTGTACTGATCTATTTACTCCGATTAAAATCGAATGAGTTCCACCTGCTTCACATTTCAAAATTTTAATTTGACCTAATCCATTCACTCCATCCACACTAAGTGCTTTACTAGTTAATTTCTTAGGTGTTTCAACTAATTCAATATCATCTCCATCTTCATCTTTACCTTGACCCAGTTCATTTGATTGACCTAATCCCCAACTATAAGCGTTTCCTTGATCATCTACTGCAAGATTATGACGAGTACCACATGAGATATCCACAATAGGTGATGGGAAATCTAACTTGAGTGGTGTATGAATACATTGACCAGGTATGAATCGTTGATTGGCAGCCACTTGTTCGATTTCGATCAATTCGGCCATATCATCCCATCTAGGTTTATCATCTGGATCATCTGAAGCTTTAGCCTTGGATTCATATGCTTTAATCATACCTTCTACTTCAATCTTCCTACGTTCTAATCCTTTGCTAACAAACTCTTGTTTCTTCTCTGTACCTTCTTGACGTAATTTTTCAACGGCTAGAATCGCTTGATGACTCTTTGGAATTCCAATCTCACTATTTTCATAATTTCCTACTCCCCAAACTTCTCCATTACTAAGTAAAAACAGTGAATGAAAATCACCTCCTTCGATGGCTACGACTCTTGCTCCATTGTGTTGATCTGGACTCATACTTTCGATCAAGGTAGGTACAGGAATGATTTCATCTGCATCTGAGTTTTCAGTACTACCAATTCCTAATTGACCTCTCGTATTGAGACCCCAGCCATAGACAAGTCCAGTTTGATTCACAGCAAAAGAATGACTACCACCAGTACCGATGAGAACAATGTGTTTTAGGTTAAGTCGTTCAGGTGTAAGACCATTCCGTTTACGTCGTTCGATGATCTTTCGACCAAGTTGATGTTGTTGACCGTTACCCCAACTGTAAACGTGGCCATCGGTAGTGAGAGCAAGTACGTGATCATATCCACAGACAACTTGAGAGACAGGATATTGCGAGAGATTCGGTACTCGGGTTGGGACTAGCTGTTTAACTTCTGTTCCAATGTTCCCATCGAAGCCCAATAGCCCATCATTAGACTTGGAAAGAGACACAATCAAAAATATGAAAAGAAGAAGTCAGTTCATGATGCCAAGTTTGATCAATGGAACCTATTATAGAAAAAACTCACCCGAAAGCTTCCCCAGGCTCTAGTCTCTCCTTTTTCACTAACTGCTACACTAACCGAATCACCAGCGCTAACTCGAACAGCTCTAAAGACTTGATGTTCACTACCCTGTACAAGACCTTCGACAAGCATCGGACGAGATTCAAGTTCTTCTTGATCAACTCCTTCAATCCCTTCTGTCTTTCGTCCTAAAGCTGCATTATCATTAATACCCCAACTCCAAATCTGACCTAATCCGTCTATTAATAAACTATGCATCCCACCACATGCTACTGTCTCTGGTCCTCCATTCTTTCCCATCTTGGTTTCATTTTTGAGTTCTTCAACTAAGGCATGTAGTACGGGTTTTTTGATATCATCCAACTTCTCTGCACCTAGTCCCATCTGTCCCATATCACCTGATCCAAACATTAACATACATTTAGATTCTGTTGTACTAAGTGAAGAGTTGAGCCACGGATGAGGATCAAATGTAAAAGAATTGATCGGATTCCCACATCGTTCGCTCTTTCGATGATCTTCAGATAAAAGTGGATCAGGTTGAGGTAATGGATTAAATGAAGCACGAGTAGCTTTAGCTGAAAAAAGTGGACGAGGTTCTTTAGGTTTCACACTAAGAGCTCGTTTAGGTGCTCTAGTAGATCCAGAAGGATCAGCTGATCTTGCTCGTTTCCCTCGTCCTTTAGGCTTTTCTGTTTCATTGATGATCGGACTAGTAGCTGTTTGAACAGGTTCTTCAGGTGGAGAAGCTTGCTTTGTAGACGCGTTGGCAGGTTTCCGACCACGTTTGGCACCGCCTGTGGTGGTAGTTTTAGCAGTTGATTTAGTGGTAGACTTTGAGTTGGGTTTAGGGTCGGCTGATGAGTTTGCCGCAGCATTGGCACGAGCTGTGAGAAAACAAAACAAAACAATCAAAAAGGTTAGATGAGATCACTCCCAAGCAATTCTCGATGAAGGTTAAAATGAAAGACTGACCGCGTGGTGGCATTTTGAAGAAATGTGATTTGAGGATACGTGGTTCGAGAAATGAAGACAGACAAGAAAGGTTATACTTGAAGGATATAAAACTGAACTGTTGAAATCTAGTTGAAGATCAATAAGAGTGAAGTGAAATCAAAAATGAATCAACTTCTTGAAGTCAATGAAAGTTGATGAGCTGAAGTGATTGTTGCTGAGTGAAGCTGAGAATCAAATCAAAATGGGGGTAAAAAATTTATGTAACAAGTCATGCAAAAAAAAACTATGGCGCGACTGTTTGGATCTGTATGTAAACAACACGGTGATCCGCATGTATACCTCTATATACCCATACATACAACTGTACAACCATCATCTATGTACCACCATCCACTTCCAAATTCAGGATTTCAAGATCACGGTTAAGCTTGGCTCTGACAGTGAGAGTTTACAGATTAGTAGAGGTTTAGCAAGTTTGTGATGTCGTCATATTCCAGTTCATCAAGATTCTCTAACCTATCTCAATGAATGGTTCTTGATCTTTCCAAGAGTCCATCCATTAACCCAAATGTATGCACATGAATCATAGGATGATGATCGATTATATGCGGTCAAAATTGTAAGCTTTTCAAGCCGTTGTGTCCCTCGGACAAACAAGATGACCGAGCCACATACGTACATGAAAGAACTTTTGAGTTTTTCCCCTTAGAGTGGAGGCCTTTACAGAAAACAACTTCTTTCGACTGTGACCATCATTCTCGATAACGGTGGAACGCTGCGGAAAATATGTACAACATCACGGGACCCCATGCAGGGTAAAGTTGTATGTGAAGCAAACATGAAAGAAGAACGAAATGGCCGAGCGTGATCTGATAAGCATGTAGTACAGATACACACATATCACTTTCCATGTCCTGCATACTTCTTGAGGGTGCTTCTTGATATTCTCGACTTTAGAAAGCATCAAATGTAAGTACAAGATACTGACTGATTCTTGCATGCGACATACATCATAAATCCCTACGAAATCCCCTAAAGCTCAGTGGAGGTTCATAGTTCCTTAATGCTAAATTTTGTTGAAAAAGCTTCACAGAAATCCAAAGACTCCTAATATTCAGAACAAGAGAGAATAAATTCCTCAACACCACACGCTATATGTAGTCTACACCGAATGAATAGACCTCAGACTGATCTCTTCAAGATTTGAACATTTTTTCGAATCTCTGAAGAAAATGAACCAGACTAAGAAGTGGTTAAGATATTTAAAGGCAATTTCTCAAAACGATTCATTCAAAAACTCACCAAGTATGAATGAAAATAAAAAATAAACCAAACTCCAAGAAAATTCAAAACTCTACAAAAGAAAGAAAGAAAACAAAAGCAAAACGTTTTTTCCAACAAAAAAAAGTTTGATATGTATATAAGAGAAACTTGATATATGTGAATAAACCTTCAAAAAGAAAAACCAATATGCATGTGGTATGAATGTATCTATCTATCTATTTACAATGTATATGTATGATATATCTAATCCATCAAATCAAGAAACCAAGAACCATATTTTCTTTACTTTCCTCTTACAACAACAACAGCAACACAATGCAAACAACGCAATCAAACAAAAAAATACCCACCAAGCAGAAACAACAGAGAAAGTAAACAAAAAAAGAAAATCATAAGAGAAAAAGTATGACCTTGGATAAGGTAGTATATTGGATATAAAATAAACTGAGCAGATATAAAACTGAAACAAAATTGAAGATAAGATCTTATGAGTAGAAAACATAGAAAAAAACACTTAATAAATGCCATGTAAGTTCAAGTTTATTTGATTTGCAAAAAAACCAATCAAGATTCAAAAAGAGAGAAAAAAAATGATCAAATAATGAAACTAGAAACCAAAAAAAAAAACTTATTCCAATCCCAAATCAATTCCAAAAAACACAATCCAGCTCATTCTTCTAATTTATTAGATTTCATCAATGAAACCAATTCAACTAATCCAATCCAATTAGCTTCTTCAATCAAATCCGATTCATCTTCACTAAACCGTAACTTTTCAATCGATTTAAACCTCCAAAAATTCAAAATCTTAGTATAATTACATGGATCTCTATCAAGAAAGATTTCAATTTGATTTAATTTATTCACTTTTTCTAAAAAAAAAAAAAAAAAAAGAGAGAAAGATCAAAAGAAAAAAAAAGTTAGAATTGAGATCATAGAATTCGGTTGGATTAAAGAGTTGGAAAATGCAAATTAAAATCTTACTTGAAAGTTTAGATGTAAGTTCATCTTCTTCATTCGGGCCCTCAACCTTTTCATGCTCTTCCTCTTCCTCTTGCTCTTCCTCCGATGATGATGATGACGATGATGATGATGATGACGACGACGATGATGAAGCTTTCAGATCGATTTCTTTATTCTTCACACCATTTCTAGTAATAGTAGTGGTAGTAGGACCATGATGTTCAGAATTAAGACTCCATTGACTATGATCACTAGATTTGATTTCAGGTGAATTCAAACCTAATCTTTGAATCAAGAAATCATTTAAATAACTCGGAGTCGAAACCACATTCTCCAATAAAGTCATAAAGATTTGACCTCCCACATTCAATGAAACGATCATCGGGTTCGGATCGGTTGTTAACTTTGGTAAATCGGATATCAAATGAGCTTTAAATGATTTACTAGATGGGATGATCGGTAATGGTTTTAAGTCTAATGAAGTAGGTGGTGATAATGAAGCAGTTGGATATGAAGTAGGTGAATCAAATTCCTCAGGTTCAGTTAAAACAGGTTCAGTTGGAATAACGTTACTCGAATTCGGATTTCCTGCAATACTTATCAAAGAAGTTCTTTGTACAGCAGTACTAGAAGGTATCTCATTTCGATGACTGGTCATGGAAGATCTAGGTGGGTCTGGAAAGTTGGGTAAAAACGTTTCAAACGAACTTGAAACAAACGAACCAACTGTAGATGAGATCGGTCGAGTTTGAGATGAATCAAGATTAGCTGAATCAGGACGAGAAGGTGCACTGAAAAGAGGTCTTCTTCTCAAGATCACCGCAGGTGGTTTACCCATCTCTTTATGAGGAGTAAAAGAAGGTTTAAGTTGATGACGAGGTGGTGAAACAGATGGAAAAGCATGATTCACATTGACTCGATTGGAGATTTGTTCCATTGATTCTCTTGGATTCCGAGGTGAGGCTCTAGGTGAATTAGTGGTAGTAGTGATAGCTGTACCAGGTGGTACGATTTGATCTACCTCAGATTCCACTGGAGTAGGTGAGATCCAAGCTTGATAAGAACTAATCGTATCAGATAAAGGTGATGATCTGGTAGGATTGATTCGAAGTTTTGATTGAAGTTGATCTGAACTCGGTCGATGATTTGATTCGTTTTGTAAATCTTGTGATTGATTTGAAAGATTGATGGGTGATGAATTAGATGGAGTAAATTGAGTCAAAGGCTGTGAAACTGGATATAATTTAGGATTTGATGCTAAATGTCTTGCAGCCAAATCTGGACTAGAATAAAATGTACGAGATGGTGAAGTTAAGGATTGCATTGGTTGTGGATTTCTAGATGAAGTTC